CCGGATTAGTTATATTAGTTAACAAAATATAAACAATTTTTAATAAAATTGTAATTTTATTAAAAATTGTTTATAACTAGAGGAGAGTTTATAAAAAGAGGAGATAGACAGTAGACAAAGGTAGAATCCCTCTGAATGGTGAACATATGGCTACAGTATCCTCTATGTTTGATGTTGATGTGCAGTTTTTAGGCTGCAAGGCTAAATACTGGCTAAAAAGGGCAAAAAACTGGCTAAATACTGGCTAAAAAAGGGCAAAAAAAAGTGGCTAAAAATAGGCTGCAAGGCTATAGTCCCCCTTTGGGGGGGACTATAGCCTTGCAGCCTAAAATGTGGGTATTACAGAGGAATTAAATTGATGTCACACTCAACAAAGATTTGGGAGAGAATTGTGGAAGATCAAGGAGAGAGACAGCTACAGATGAAGAACAGTATGGTTTCATGTCAAGAAAAGGAACAACAGATGCAATCTTTGCCCTAAAGCAGCTGATAGAAAGATAAAGATGCAGACAGAACTGCACATGATATTTATAGACCTGGAAAGCATGATTGGGTACCTAGACAGAAGGTATGAAGATGTATGAAGGTAAAAGAAATACCAGAAAAATATGTAAAGGAAATGTATAAGGAAGTAATGACTCAAATAATGAATAGTGTAGGTATGACAAAGGAATTCACTGTGAGAATTGGGCTGAACCAGGGCTCAAACCTTATACTTTCTGTGAGACTCTGGAAGTGGGCCAGGCACCACACAAATGAATAAATTTTGTCTTCTTGTATGAATATAAGAAAAAATATTATTTTGTAAAAGAAAAAAAAAAGAAAGAAAGAGGGGAAAACTGCTATAAAAGGAAAAATAGAAATTTCATGTCTATAAAAGGACACAATTTGGAAGAAATTATTGGAAAAACTGTACTTCTCATTAAAATAATAGTATGATGCAAGTTTTAAGATCGACCATCTTTGATAGGGATTGAATTGACAGACAATGTTGACTCATCTCGCAATCTGAGTTCCAATCTCGTTACACTTAGTAATGAGTGAAAATCAATTAGAAAGCAGAGGTGAGTTGAATTGACCTATTGAAATGTTCAGTCTGGAACCCTAAAAAATTATAAAAGTGGCAATTTCAAGACCACAGACAGCTTCTTGACCTGTCTTTACTATTGTGAACATCCATCAGGAAAGAAAAGAAAGAAAGAAAAAAAAAAAAAAAGGGAATTTTCAACACCATCGTCCCCATTTCGGACTTTAATACTTTGCTCCAACTGCTGTTCGCCAAATGACAACATCCAGGGGTCATCAACTTCTGCAAGGACCTTGAAGATTACATCTATAAGACACTTTTTCTCCTCAAGAAAGAAAGGCAAAGATCCTGTAGTTTGCCTCCTCTAACCGACAGAAGACTTAGTAATCGTAAGCATAATCTGTACAATAAACTGGGTTAATTGTTTTTTTAACTGGAGAGAGTTGTCTCTGTGTCTTATACCCCCACCCACATGTTGACACCAATTGGGCATCCTGTCATTACCTGCAGTTTGTCTACTTCACATTTCTGTTTAATTTGGTGATTAATGTATTGGTGGATGTGAAGAGCAAGGCACCATGGAGTATGCAGTTTGTGAATGTCATTTTGCTGTGTGAAACATCTTGAGATAAAGTAGAGAAGAAGCTGGAGGAATGGAGAAAAGTGTTGAAAGAGAAATGAATGAAGATCAGCAGAGCAAAGACAGTATATATGACATCTGGTAGAGGGGATGAGAGATATATACAACTCCAGGGTGAAAAGTTAATAACAGCTTCCAAATTTAAGTATCTTGGATATAACAGAGAAATGAGTGCAGAAATCCAGCAGAGTTCTTAGTGGATGGGTGAACTGGATAAAAATGAGTGCAGTACTGTGTGATAAGAAAATTAGCTGCAAACTGTAAGGAAGATTATACAAAACTGTGATAAGACCTGCAACAATGTACAGTGCTGAGACATGGGCAATTATAAGAGCCCAGGAAAGAAAGATGGAGACAGTGGAGAGAATGCTGAAATTGATGTGTGGTGTGATGAAGGACAGAATTAGGAATAATTACATAAGAAAACTAGTCAAGGTGGGTCCTATAAGTAAGAAGATATGAGAAGATGCACTAAAATAGATTAAGACAGTTTTGACATGTGAAGAGAAGTGAAGAGTAGGAAATTGGAGAAGGAAGTGGGGGAAAACTGAAGCAAAGATGGAGAGACAAGGTGGCAGAGGATTTGGGAGAGAGGACACCTTGGACAGAGAGAAATAGAAAAGACAGTTTAAAGATGGAATGCTGATTCCATATAAAAGGAAAAAAGCAAAGAACAACAACCAGGACAATAAATTGAATAATGACTTATAACTTATGCTACCTAGTTTTGATTGTTACTGAGTGAATGATGCAAGACCAAAAACATAATATAATTACATGATGAATGTAGATATGTTTAGTCAGTCATCCATAGTTAGTTATCTATGGATTATGTAGCAAATTGTTGCTGATTAACTAAGCATTTTCATGTTTGTAATGTTATCCATTTTCCTTTTATCTAGCTTTTAATTTTGTTTCTTTTTCTTATTTTGTTTTGTAAATAAAGCCCCCAAAATCCATGCTTTTTTCAATTATAAATATTCAAAACAGAATTTCTTTTTCCCCATCAGTTTCCTCTTGGATATAAAGGAATATACTGGTCATTGGGTTTCAACAACAGCATCTGTGTGAATATGTATGTCACATTGCAACCATGTTGTATCACTACTGGATTACATACTAGAAGTGCCAAAATATATAAATCTAAAAATAAAATATATTGACATAATATACAGAGTGTTCATAATCAAAGTTATATTTAAAAAAGATATCTCAAGAATTAATCAGCAGAATGTTATATTTCATATGGAAACTTTTGTTGTGATGGAATTTTACTTGAAAATGAAAAGTTACAAAAATGTCCACTAGTGTGGTAAATGGTACTGCAAAACTGTAGTTAGTAACACAAAATATCTAAAAATTTATGATACACTTGGTACACTGTAATTACACATCAACAGGCTCCATATATTAACTTCAAATTCTGGGTGCTATCGTTGGACATACAATTTGGCAATTTCAGCATGTTACTGACAGTGGAGGCCATCATACTGATCATGTTGTTGTATAACCACACAGTGTACCATATGTATTGTAAGTTTTGAGACATTTTAAGCTAGCCACTATGGTATTGCTGTTTACTGCCCTAATGGACATTTTTGTAACTAATTTTGTTTGTTTTCAAATAAAATTCTATTACCATTGTGAAGTATATCATCTTGTGTAAAAATTCCTCCTCACCAGGTAATGATATAATATATAAAATAGATTCACTATAAGCCTTTGAGTAACCAGTAAAATATTTATTCAAAAAAAAACAAACGTTTTCGACCGTATTCTTCGTCCTTCTTCAGGTTAAACGTTCCGAGATTCGAAAAGCCATTGTGCTTTAAGATTTAAAAGATTTTAAACATATTCAACTCATTATGCGCATGTGTATCCAGCATTGGATAAACAAAAATATATTTAAACAATATTACTTGACACACATGAAATGGTGGAAACACCCTAAATTGAGTTGTGGGAGACTTCTCCTTCAACAACAAATTTCCAAGCTGTAGAAATATTAATTGCGTCATTATAGTTGATGCAGTTATTGCGTAACCCCGCTTTATATATTTCCAGAATTTCAAGTGTTCATGTGTGTTCCCTTCTGTGTGAAAGTTTAATGATTTGCGCATTATGCAAGTCGGCACTTATGCCCTGGGTCGAAGCATAAGTAGATAGGGCAGTGGTGCATCTGTTAGGATCAATGTCATATTTGTGTTCGCGTATACGTTTATCTAGAGAGCATATCGATGAGCCAATATACACCAGGTCCCTTTGAAATCTATGCTCCCTTAGTGGGACAGAATATACCCCTGGAGCCAATCTTATGTCTATGTCGTCTTTGCAGTTGTGCAGAATGTCATAAATGGTACTACGCCTCTTATATGCAATTCTCTTGTTTGTACATGCCACAATTTCTCTGTAAATCGGATCAAGGTTGTAGTTATATTCAACCACAGCCAAAGACTGAAAATTGTTGGTCTTTGGCTGTGGTTGAATATAACTACCACCTTGATCCGATTTACAGAGAAATTGTGGCATGTACAAACAAGAGAATTGCATATAAGAGGCGTAGTACCATTTATGACATTCTGCACAACTGCAAAGACGACATAGACATAAGATTGGCTCCAGGGGTATATTCTGTCCCACTAAGGGAGCATAGATTTCAAAGGGACCTGGTGTATATTGGCTCATCGATATGCTCTCTAGATAAACGTATACGCGAACACAAATATGACATTGATCCTAACAGATGCACCACTGCCCTATCTACTTATGCTTCGACCCAGGGCATAAGTGCCGACTTGCATAATGCGCAAATCATTAAACTTTCACACAGAAGGGAACACACATGAACGCTTGAAATTCTGGAAATATATAAAGCAAGGTTACGCAATAACTGCATCAACTATAATGACACAATTAATATTTCTATAGCTTGGAAATTTGTTGTTGAAGGAGAAGTCTCCCACAACTCAATTTAGGGTGTTTCCATCATTTCATGTGTGTCAAGTAATATTGTTTAAATATATTTTTGTTTATCCAATGCTGGATACGCATGCACATAATGAGTTGAATATGTTCCAAATCTTTTAAATCTTAAAGCACAACGGCTTTTCGAATCTTGGAACGTTTAACCTGAAGAAGGACGAAGAATACGGTCGAAAACGTTTGTTTTTTTGAATAAATATTTTACTGGTTACTCAAAGGTTTATAGTGAATCTATTTTAAGTATATCATTCTACTGATTAGTTCCTACATTATATCTTTTTAAATGTGCACTTTAATTATGAACACCCAGTATATAAAAAATAAATTTAAAATAAAAATTTTAATACAGACCTTATCAGAAAGACCTGTAGTTTTGTTCCCTTTGCAGCCTACTGAATAGAAAGCTGGTATGAGGTCTGTAGGGCAGTCAGCAAGATAAGTACAATAAGTCACTGGTGATTCATGGAGATCCATTGGATAAGGATTTTGGAAGCAAGGATAACTAAAAATTATTTATTATAACAAATTAAAGTTTAAATAAGTATTTTGAAAAAGCATATTAAATTCTTTCATTAAACTAATTAATTCATGAATTAAAATTGCTTGATATTAATTATATTTTTAAAAATCTTTAGATACATATTAAGAGTTAATTTTCATACAGAGATGCCAACCTGGAAAGTGAACCATCAATAGCACAGGAACATAAGTTATGGTTGGAGAATGGGGAGTAAATGAGAGAGTAATGTCCCACTACCACACTTCTGATAATGAAGCATCACTCCAATTTTAAAATACAAGTAGCCCTCGGTTTACGCCAGTTCAATTTATGCCGATTCACAATAATGCCTCTGTGCAATTCGCCATTTCAAGGTGTAATTCCCCGATTTTCCCTATGCTAGACTGATTTTCATTTCAGTGTTGATGTATTTACCGAGCCGCGACATTGTATATTCGTTAAAACAAAGATTTTTATTAAATATATTTATTTTTTCTGTTTAATATTATTGGGTATGTATACATTTGCATAAAATTAGTATTAAAATACTAAACGTTTAGGTACCCACAAGTCAAGATATTAAACTTAATAGTCCAATAAATTGCGTCCGAATCCATAGCGCCAATGAATGTATCCCGTATCAGTTCATTCAGGAAAACACCTTACGACGCAATAGCACTTCTGGCGATCACAAATTATTGTTAGTGAGACAAATCTACTTCTCATTAGCCAGACGATATTTATCTCTCCTTAGCCACCTTGAATTTTCCCGCTCAAACTGACCTTATATATGCACTACAGTGACTGGTGGTCGACCAATCAGTGTCTTCACTCGTCTGTAGCTCTACGTCGGGTTAACGTATCCTTTCAACTAAGGAAAGTTTGACGGATGAAGTTTGTGAGTTAGACAATGTTGGGAGCGAAGTGCAAATGTAAAAAGAAGCATCATATTCAACAATATTCCGAAATTCTTAATGAAAGAAATAAAAAATGTAAACAATTAAAGATGGATACTTTTTCCGAAAAATGTAAGAAATTCGAAACAAAAATTTTTAAATAAAAACATTTTACTTTATTTTATGATAAAATACATTTTAAAAATTTATATGTATTTTGTATTATATTGTATTAATAAACAAAATGATTAGCTTATTTTTCACTCATGTAGAATCTAACCCTATACCTCACTGTAAATACGGGTTCGTTTTACGCCGATTCAATTTGCGCCGGCTTTTGTAGGAGTGGAACTGCGGCATAAACCGAGGGCTACCTGTATTCATACACTATCTTAATTTTATTCTAAAATACAGTGGGTGATCGGTTAACGAACAGATTCGATAACGAACAAATCGGATAACGAACACTTTTGCGAAAGATTTTTACGTTCGGACAATGAACACATGATCGGATAACGAACACCGCACAGAACGAACACAAGAAGAAGCGACGTAAAATAATGTATACCGATTGGTCTTCTCTTGTCTTCAGGCAACAATTCGAAACTTTTCGGAGTGTGGGAGATGACGACATCGACGCTCAAGCCGGTATATACCGATCGGATAGTATTCCTCCGAACTTTGAAACTCTCCCTTGTAATTCCAGCCTTTTATTTTTCTGACAAAACAATTCTTTTATGTATTTGCGAGACTGTCGGGTAGGCACAAGTTAAGTTTTGCGTCTGTTTTTTTTTCTTTTCAAAAGGTGAGAGTATAATAGCAAAGGTAGAAAGTGGGCAGAAGATGCCTAATGTTGCTGGGCAGTATGGCGTGAACAGGTCTACAGTAGGCCGCAGTTCAATCTTAATTAGGAAAAATACTGTATAATCAGGAAGACTCAAGCAGCTAAAGGAGTACAGTCGACCCCCCTATAAGATATAGATACGTTCCAATTTATTATGAATAAGATTTCTTACAAGTCGTTCTAATCACAGCCCGACACGTGTCAAGTTTACGGACTACGGCTGATTGAAAGGTTTTCTTCCATAAAATTAATCGATTCTACACTAATTCGACTCAACATTTCCAAAATACGTATATTTTTTCGTAGTTTTATAGGAATCGTAATTATAGGGGGGTCGACTGTAATAAAAGTCACATCTGAGAAATAAAGAACATCGAAGAGTTCATAATGGAACCTGAAACAGATCTGACGACAAAAGAACGTCAAAAACTCTTGAATGAAGAACACCAGGAAACTTGGCGAGATATGTTTTCTTCTGAAAAAAAGGATTACTGCCGATATTTGCTATTAAAGATCTTTTGAAGAAGTGGGAAGATGTCAGAACAACGGTCTTAGAATGGCATCCAAACCAGGTTGAGGCTTGGGGATTTCTACAATTGCAATCCTATTAATTACTTACGAAAAATCCTGAAGAAGAGAGAAAAGCAATCGACATTGGACAGATTCTTTAACCCTTTCAAACGGAAAAAACATGACTAATAAAAACGCAAGACTGTGCATGTATGTATTTTTATTATTATGTATAAATAAACGTATTAAGAAAGTATATATTTTTTATTTTTGGCGGTCTCCAGAACGAATTAATTAAATTCCCATTAAAACCTAAGGTAAATCGATAATCGGTTAACGAACAATTCGGATAGCGAACAAAGTCTTGGAACGGATTATGTTCGTTAACCGATCACCCACTGTAATCTCTAATCTTTTCAAATCATCATCTGAAGAGCTGCTATGTAACTAAATTAAATTCACTTTTTGAGTATTATGGAAAAACATGCTAAACTGTTTGAAAGTGAAATACTAAAAGTTTTAATTTCTCACTATTACCATATAAAATATTTCATAAAGAGAGATGAATATTCAAGTCATTGTACTTCAGACTCCTATAAATACTGCACTATTGCAAATTTATTTTTGATATATTCAGGTTTCAATTCAAAACAAGTTACAGCACTTTTTGTGCTAAACTCAAAATGCTTTACATAATTATTAGGAATTCAGTTTGAAATCAGTCTAGAGAGGTAAAAACAGTATTAACTTTACACAACAACACTACTTATCTAAAACTGGACATTACAGTACGAGATAAAACACCACAATACCCAAGTATAGTGAAGAACACAGAAATAACTATTACATATGTTTTTGGATTCTTCCAGAATTCTGCTTCAAGTTAAATATATTCTATTGTTGGAATGTATCAGCAGAACTTCTGTGGAATTAAATTTTTAAATATGCATGTGCCTTACATGTGTGGAGAGAGCTGCAATGGAACAGGACTTACAAGGAATTATCATAAAGTGCTCACCAAGCTCATGATAATTCATTTCATCCTTTCAGGAGATGCAATTATCATTATGCTCAGCTTTAAAAATTTCAAAGGATTCAAAGACTTTTATATGGTTACATTGTAGGGAAGTGAATAACATGGTGTAGTAAAGATTTGATGTCATTTTCTGATACATATAACAACAAGGTGTTAAAACTTTCTCCTTTCCAAATTACTAAAGGTAATCACATGAAAAAAAATCTTTAATTACTAGAACAAATTAATGAAAACTCTGAACATTTTCGGCCTTCAAAACGTATGTGTGTGACAGGGTCATACAATTATGAATTTTAGTCGTTCTACTGTTTGAATTTGATTTATGTTATAAGTTATTCAAAATTAAAAATTGTTTTTTCAAATACAGTAGAGCATCGATTATCCGACTCAATTGGGGACTGGGGTTGGTCGGATAATTGAAAAGTCGGATAACCGAAAAGTATGAAAAAAATCCATTATTAATGTAGTATATTATTATATCCCATGTAATTACTATATTAGTATATCGCTATTAACCTACTTCGTGTTGAATTTTCCTCCATGTTAAGCCTATCAAATTTTTTTAAAAATAATAATCGTCGCTATTGTATCATTAAAAATTAAAAAATTAAGCCTTGTTTAAATACTGGCTCCCTTTCATGGTCGATCCAGTGTTGCCAGCTAAAACACATAAAAATAATATTAAAGTAGCCAAGACATAGCCAAATATTGTTGCGCCACATCACTGGCGGACATTTGAATTTGCCTACTAGAATGCGGTCGGTTAACCGAGGTGACAGTTAATCGGGGGTCGGATAATCGATGCTCTACTGTAGTATCATTCTAACATTCCAATCTGGAATTCATTAAAAAACCTGATGCAGGCCTTGGTGAAGGCTGAAAATGTTCAGAGTTTTTGATAATTTGGTACTGGTGTGGTCTTATGCCATATTTTGTACATTGTAGTACATATTCTTAGTATTTCTTCCATTTTCTTCCTCTTTGTTCTTGGTTCTTTTGTCTATCACCTTCTAGAAACTTCTTCCCTAACCCTTCCCTGTTCGGGTAGTAATGACCTAATTACAAGACAAAAGAAAGGGCTAAAAGGGGTGGGACAAACTTACTTTTGGCTTAAACATTGGAGAGATAGGATGTGTTGTGAGGACCTCCAAGTTGTTCTGGCATTGACTGGAGAACAAAGGAGACAATAAGCCTAAGCTAGCATTCGAGAGGAGCCCGAAATATATCTCAATATAAGGACGTTTGGAAGCTTATTTAGAGAACCTGATAAAGTTCTACAATCATCAATTCCTACAATTCAGATAGTTAATAATTCAGCAATCACCATCATCACCTCAAGACCGTTGACACTTTTGGTAACCAATCTTTTCTATCACCATATATCCATCTATCCTATTGTCTATCTTTTCTTCCTCTCTTTTTTTAGTATAAGTAGTTTGAAGCATTTAATCATAGTTCTTTTTTGTACTGCATTGAATATTTTCGATTGTTTTTTTTGTCACAAAATTATACTTAACGATTCTGTCTGAGTATCTGCAGAAATTGTATGTAAAAGAACAAAAATGAGAAGTGTCAGAATTTATAAAAGAATCCTGTAAAGAAAATAAACACGGGTAAAGGAAGAACATATGTATGTGTTATATGCTTATCCTCTTGTTGGATTACACTCATTGCGTGCATATTTTACACTGGTAATTAAAGGTTTTGTTTCATGTAAAGGCAATGGAACACTTAGAATGGTCAATATCATTCTGATGTTCTCTGACTCTCCTTTTTAGGGATCTTGTGGTAGATCTGACGCATACCAAATCCCTCCTAAATCTGGCTTCCTCACCAGTACAAGATATAACCCTAACACCCTCTGAATGTTTAAGAGATATTTCTCATTTCTCAGGATTGAATAGATGATTGGGTATGTTTGTAAATAATTTTTACACCTCTGTGCTTTGCAATTTGATTATATACTAAGTATATGATACTATCATAGCTTACCACTACTCTGTATTCCCTACAGCCAGTTTCATTACATTTGTTATTCCCTACTTAATCATGTTTGCTCTGGTAGGCTGTTAACTTATCTAAAAGTTACCAGCTTAGGCTATAATGAAAGCAAGGGCCTTCATCATATCAGTAATGCAAAATAGTTCTGCCTTCATATCTTCCTGCCTGGTGTAGTGTGTATGGGGTCTCTTAATTAGGGTTCAGAACGTGGTCGTTTTGTAGCAAAATGGGTCATTACAGCCCACTAGTATATGTGGAGAACAAAAATCTGGCTTGAATACACTGAGGTTTCAATATTGAAACCAGCATAATAAATGTCAAGGTCTAAATAGTGAAACTCCTTGTCATCTGCCAGCTTCTAGCCAAAGACCATAAGGGTTATCATTCATGAACCTTATATACATGTCCAAGTCTGGTTTAGACTTTCAGATAATGATGTTGTCTATATACCTTTCGTACAAAATTATGTTCATGTTTTTTTTTGTCTATCTATCTATCTATCTATCTATCTATCTTCCAGAAGGCATACAACCATTTTGGAAAGGTCGTCTGACAAGGGGCTCCTCACAGATATCTCCACTTTTGTATATAGATGACTTGTTAAATTGCAAAAAGAAAAAATAACAGGATGTGCATTAGTTCTAAAATCTGGAGGTATAGTGATGGGTCAGCTACCTTATAGAATAACCAATCTCTAATGGGTTAGAAATAGGTTTGAAACTTAATCAATTTAATTTCCAATTTAATGTCCAACACCATAAAGTATCTTTCAGAGGAAACTTGGTGCAAGGAGTCAACTAGACCACTGGAATTGGAGATACACATTTGGAAGGTTACCAGTTTCTAAGTATAAGCTCCTGGACTGCTCTTTCTAATTAAGGGTAAAATTCTTGCTTTCTCAAGCACTGGTCAGAGTTTTTACTGTTTCTGTATCCTGTTTTTACTTTAACAACACCATCTCTATATAAAAGTGGAGGTTTCTGTGGAGAGTTCCTTGTCAGATGACCTTTGCAAAATACCTTATGCCATATGCCTTCTGGAAGATAGGGTTCTCCCATTGTCCCTACCTAACAATTTTCTACAAAAGATATATAGATGACACTATTTGGAAGTAAAGACCAGACTTGGGTATGTTTATATGATGTATTCAGTCCTATGGTTTTTGGCTGGAAGCCGAGTAGATGACAAGGAGGTGCATTATTTAGACTTTAGTATTTATTATGCTGGTTCAAAATTAAATTTAAATTGTTTTGTATTCTCATCTGTAACAATTCTTTTACCCATAGCCAGAGGCATAGCGACCATGGAGCAGTTGGGAGTATACTGTTTCAGGCACATGAATCATGAGAGCGCCAATTTAGAAAGGGTGAAATAAAAACTTGTAAAAACATTTGTAAAAAATTTTTTTTGGATTTAATAATTGATCAACTAACTATTAGATTTGAATCTGTTCAACAATTAGGCCTATGTACACAATTAGGCTTTTTAAGTGCTTATCATCTGCACATCTTGTCACGTCATCTGATAAAAATATTCTGGAAAAATCAGAGTTGTTACAATCTGCATATCCCTCCGGCATTTTGCCTAGTTTTGGACCTCAAACTCTTCAATTTAAACTCAACTTTTGTAGAAAATTGTTAGGTAGTGACAATCTTCCAGAAGGCATATGGCATAAGGCATTTTGCAAAGGTCATTTGACAAGGATCTCGCCACAGAAACCTCCACTTTTATATAGAGATAGTGTTGTAGGAAATATTACTACTACAAAACAACACATATGTAGTAAATATTATTAGGTACTCCATACTTAAATAATTGCATTTTGTTTTATTATTAATTTTGTATTTATTCAATTGAATATCTTATTGTTGAAATGCCTCGAATTTCAAATAAATTGTTATTAAGTAAGATTTTAAATCAATAGATATATGTTTTTAAATTAAATGTTGAAAATAAATTTCATGAGACCTCTTCTGAGGAACAAAGGAGTGCACCTATTCTACTTGCTCCAGGGCACTGAATATGTAGCTATGCCACTGTCCATAGTCCTACTGATCTCATTAAAGGTGTGAAGTGGGTTTTCGTATTCCACCACTGTGTAGTCACTATTAGATGTATCATTTACTTCCATATTCCATGCATGTTAGTACTTATCGATCAATAACCGTTTAGTCTTAGGTTTGAAACTGAACATATGCTGTGAAACTGAACATATGTCCTTCAGTTCCTCCATTCTGTCATAGACATCAAGGCAATGGTTGTAGACCCTCCTAATTAAAGCCATGAAGGCTCCAATCTTGTAGTTAAGCAGGTCATGTGAGGTCCATGGGATAGAGTGAGTTATGCAAAAGTTTCCTGTAAATTTTAATATTATTAGCACCAAACTTGAGCATAATAAGAATAGTGAAGAAGTGTGTTTCACTGCCACTCTCCTGTTTCAATTTCATCTGTAAACTGAAGAAAGTCATTAAAGATGACCAAAAATGTTAGCAATTAACAACTTTTGTGCTTCTTATGAAAAGTTATTCAGTGAGTTCAAAAGTCCATAATTTAGACATGACTTATATAAAAACTACAAAAAATCTGTAGTGGTGCCATCTCTACTTATATACAGGAAAATACAAAAAAAAAATTTCATAAAAAATTAAAACTGCATATAATATACTTTTCAAAATAAAGAAAAGGACTTATGATTTACTAGAATTAAATAAAATTTGTTATATTAAAAACTGCAATTATTAGCAAGGTTGCAGCCGACATTTTCAATGTGAAAACTTGAACATCAGACGTTCAGAGCCGCCTTCCAATAAGCCTAGAAGTTTGACAATGGCATTTGTAACATCAAGCATGATTCCACTGATGTTCTAACTGCAGTTGTCAAACTAATAGTCTTATGGGAAAGCAGAGCTGTATGTCCGATGTACATGTTTCCGTGTTGAAAACTTCAGCCGCAACCTCACTATTATTTTTTTTATATAAGAAATTAACTTTAACAAAAGTATATTTAAAGTTTAAGAATATTAATTATGATTCATGTAATTTAAAACTGCTATTACAAAAATAAAAATACTAATTTAAAATTTAAATACTAATTATTAACATTACATATTTAATAAATCTTAGCATAATCAAAAAATTATTTTTTGCTTACCCAGAGCTTGTAAGATCAACAACAACCAAATCATTGAATAATAAAACCACCACAGCATATGGTTCATGAAATTCTATAAAAATTAAATAATAAATCATATTTTTTAATAAAATTTAAATATTTAATATATAAAGCAGAAAATAAATGTTTTATATAAAAGAAATTTTAAATTTTAATTATTCTGAATCTTTTTCTCAACAATGACAATAATTTGAATTTTACTAGTAGCAAAAGAAAATCAACAACAAAAATCTATTAATTTTATACTAACAATATGTTAGAAATCATATCTGCATATTTAAATATCATTTTTTATTTTATTTCATTTCATTGCTTAAAGCTACTTTCATATGTAATATAAATGCTTAGAATCTTCAACTCCATCATCAAATTCTTTCAAAAATTAAACTACAACATTTTAGACCAGCATATTATGAAAATTAAGAAAAATAAATGATAGAATAAAATATTCAATTTAAAGATAAAAACATTAAATATTCTTATTAAGTCAAATCATTTCAAAAAATATTTTCTTATTTAAAATAATAGTTTCATTTTTATATATTAACTATTTGTCAAGAATCTTATTTACTTCATCTTTTGAAAATCAGTTTTTATTATCTCTTAATTTGATTAATTATGATTCATCATCATCCTTTCTAACTAAATTTATTTAATCGATTTTATAAAACAAAACCCAAATGAAATGGAAACTTGCCTAACAGAAAAAAACTTTAACACAAAGCAATTTTCTATGTTAAATTTTACTATGCACCAGAAACTTTTTGAATACAGAAATGGAAACCAATCTGGATACAAAAAAAATGCAATTTAACCTAAACAAAACAAAAACTTATGTTTTCATTTAAAGACAAAAAAGTAAAATAGGCCTCAGACAATCATCATTACAAAGCATGGTAAACTGTATATTGAGAATGAGTTTACACCTTTTTAGAGAAATGAAGGTTACATGATAAAGGGACATGTAGAAAGCAATCAGTGTATGACTTGATCCAGACATTATGATTTGATTGGCTGTTGAATGTAATGTGGAGCAAGTTGAATATTATGTGGTTGAATTGTAAACAGCCGATATGAAAACTTTGTTATTTAAAGTTACGAACAATGACAACATAGAAGTTTCCATGGCAATAATAGACAATTTACACGTTCAAAGAAAGTATATAAGAATTTAATTGAAACTCACATAAAACAAAGAATAAATTTTCAACAAAATCACAGATATTTATAAAGGAAATATAATTCCACTTTATGAATTCAAAGTATATTTTCAGATCTTTTTATTATTTTGTAACTTATGTGAAGTATCTGAAAAATCATTAACCATAACTTCCTGATTTCCATCTAAAAATAGTGGAATTGGTTGCTTGCCTCTTATTATTCAGTAAAAAAATCCAGAAACTTTTTGGATCACATATCTATAACAACAACTAAATAGTTATTATATAATAACAACTATTTAGTTAGATATTGCCCCTACAGATACAAGATCTATATTAATATCAATTTTCAATGAAATTAACCAAGGAAGATAAATAGAGAGATGAAGGCCTGAAAGATATAATGAATCTTCCCTACAAATAAATATAAAAAGAATCATCACAATTGCAGAAAAAATGGCAAATCAGTAAACTTACACAACACTGACCTGGATTTAAAACTGTACACAAAATGCAGACACTATCACATAGTCAAGCTCAGAAGCTCTGCTGTAGTCATCCTAATGATCTTAGCTGGGTTTATGTTGACAGAACTCAAACTGTTAGCTGACTCATTAATGTTTCTTTGGAGAAACCAAAAAGTTTGTTATTGTCATAGATCATACATTGTAAAAACTACAGAAAGACTATTTGAAGAGACAACACTTATAGAAAATGTCATATCATGCTTGAAATTATACAACACACCACATTTAAGTTGTAAGCTTTTAACACAAAATGATTACTTACATTGACATAAACAGAGAGTGAATATAATATATCAAAAGCTTGTCCGCAAACAAATTATTATACATCCAACAACCGTAACTCACATGATTATAAAAAACAAAAAGTTATGCTATGACCATGCTATAATCACAAACAAAATAATTCATCACAACAGACCCAGACATCACCTTCATTGACAAATAAAACAAAACCACATACATCAAAGACATAGCAAAAACCACTCATAAAATACAAAATACATACACTGAAAAAATTATGATAGTAATTGTTGTATTTTGAAAGTTTACAGTAATTCTCCCTCTCTATATAATGACCTTCAAAGCCTCATTTAGAAACAGACTGTTGATTTTATTGTATATCAGTTCTTTACAACAAATAGGATTGACTCAAACCTATGGTGTTTAATGATAATATTTTAATAATAAAATGATATTATATAGTAACTTAATTCTTAAAGTATCTACTTTTCCAATATTTGAATAAAGAATAAATTTTAATCTCTTATTTTGACTTCTTTAACCAATCAAATGTTCAAAAATATTAGCCTATTCCCTATTCAACACTGTTTGGAGAAAGGTGTAGCAGTCAAAACTAAACCAAATTTTGTTTGCTGATGTTTCTTGACATTCAGAAGAGATTTCTGTAGCAATAAAATTCAGTAGCAAAACTAACACTTGAGACACTACAAAAAAAAAAATTCATTTTACTGCAGATCAGCAGCAGCAGTCATGACCATGCCTGATTGCACCTTTTTCTCGTAAATGGTGTAACAAAAATAATGATAGTGCTTGAGTGAACTTCAAGAATTGCACAATTTAAAAATTTCACTGAGATTCTGAGATTTTTGCCACTTGCATCATAACAAATCTCTTAGTGGTAAAATTTGGAATTAAATTTTTTCTGTGTGGAAATATTTTCTGCATGTCTAGAAATGTCAGCATGCAAACTTTTAGTTTGGATTGCTACATACCCCTCTAAACCCACATTTCTCAACCAGTGGTCTGTGGATCTCACAACTCTGCAAGGATCTGCAGTTCATTGTGTGGGGATTTTAGAGATCTGTGACATGAGAAATGATGAGAACCACAGCTCTAAACAGTGTTAAATAGGAGTACTTTAATCATGATCACTCTGTACATTTCAGGTTTGAAATAAAGTTAATAAAATTTGTTATTGCTCTAAAATATTTCAGAAAATTTACTTGAAAGATATTAAATTGAAATTAATAAAAACACATAGTAAAAAAATATATATTTTAGTTTTTGTATTTTAAAAATTATCAAAAACTAATTACAAGTTATTATAGATATAACTAGGACATCGTATGACTTTGTTGTTTAGCAATAGAATTGAGGTGGAGCTAGAAAAAAAAGAAGCAATTCCTGCACCTGTTAGGCATAGAAGAGGCAATCCTCATACATGCTGGCCTTGGGAGACACGATCCTTGCACTTGTCAACATGGACAGGCAATTCAAAAAAAGCAATAGTCATTGATTGCTTTCTTCTTATGTTTTGTTCATTTTTTGCACCTATTTTCAGGCACACACAATGCTGTTTTCATTTTTCATCTCTAGGAAGTATGGACATTGTCACTTTCATTCCACTGTATATCAAAAACAAGGTCAAGAACCACTATTTTTTATATTTAAATGGATCATTATTATATTTTTCAATCCTTCATTGTAATAGAAAATGCAAAATTTATCAAAATTGGCCCATTAAATTTTGAAAACAAACTAAATTTTATAAACACATAGAAAGCATGCTAGCTACTGCAAAACATCACACGACAAAGTCATGCAATTTGTGCAATATCACTTTGTCACACACACTCATGCTACAACCTTATATCTCAAAAATAAAGTCATGGACCTCCATTTTTTTTATTAGAATTTTGGTTTCTTCATCATAATTAATGGAAAATGGCAACGTTTAATCAAAATCGATCAAACAGATTTTGAGAATAAATACAATTCCGTAAGCCACATATAAGAAACTTCACTAATGCTCTGCCTCAATTAGTTAAGAACTAATTGCATCTGAAAATAATTTGTTAATTTTTAGTTTTATTTATTGCATGAGTATAATTGATATCATACTTCTTTACATGAAGTATTCATTATAATTAATACTTGTGTTCAATTATATAAACGTTTTTGAAAAATTTAAACTTTTGTAATAATTGTATATAACTGTACTAAAAGTTCAGTTTCTAAATTCATATGTTTAGAATAATTACCAGTAGTAAATCATAACATTTCAGAAGTGTAATAAGAGATTATTTATGTGCACAAAAACCAAAATCAACAATTAATAAAAGAGTGACATTAGTTGTAAAATATGTAATTACTGACAACTGTGACGCCCAGAAATAGCACAGCAAGAAAAAAAAATTTGTTAAGTTAAACCTTAAACCAGTGTTTCTCAACCTCTAACGAATCGTTGCCCCCTTCAATAAAACCATTACCTATTATCGCCCCCTTCCCTTCACTTCAAAATTCCAATGCCGAGGACCAAGACTAACGCCAAATTTGTACTGCATTGAATAGACTATTCACTAGTATAATGTTATTTGTTTAATTATTGTACAATATAATGAATAAAATATCTAATTATTCTTAATACAATGTTTTACTATATTGCCCAGAAAATTGTTTTTCGCCCCCAAAATATAAATTGTTACTAATTGCCCCCTCAACATGGAAAAATGCCCACATGGAAATGATATCACCCATATCACCCCCGTTGAGAAACTGATTTAAACCATCAAGAAAACAAATTACATAAGTGTTGAGTCGGCGACACTGGACTTTGACATTCATGAAGAATAGCAAGAAAAACAAAATTTTAGATAAAGAAAATTAAACAGAAAAATATTTAAAACTTAAAACACAGTTTAGAAAGTAAAACGAAACTAGAAAAATATTAGAATAAGCGTGGGTGTCATAGTCATCGACAAAATGTGATCAGAGTCTAAGAGATGGTGTCGAATAGACCATCTCTAGCTGACCTTTCCCACGCCCTGAATGGAGCTCCATTTAAACCTGGAGACAGGTGTGACACCAATTGAGAAGCAAGGAGAAAAAGGTCTAGCCAATAAGCA